TTTATATATATTTATTATTCAAAGTTTTAGTGGTACAAAAATTATTAAATATGATTAATAAATTTAGAATTCTTACCAAGACCACTGATGTGGGATATTTGGCAAACCTCGAAACAGCTGTAGGGTCAGCCAAATATTCAATTTATTAAAAATAATATAAAATGAATTTTTGTTGTTCAGTTGCAGTTCACTACTGTTCAAAAAACCTATTTATGAAATATACTAGTTTCTATAAAATATAATAGTCACTTTCCTCAGAAAAATATGATGTTAAATTACAACTTAAAAGGTATAAATCAATTTAAAAAACCAATTTCAATTATAAATTTTTTTGTAATTAAATATTTTCATTAAATTTTTTTAATTATTATAAAAAAATATTATATCTTGTACTTAAATATTTGCTTTTTGAAACTATTTTTAAAGTTAATTTATTTTTAAAGTATATTTTTAATTGTACACAACTTAAAATTAAACCCGCAGTATTTTTCGGAATCAATTACTGAACCGCTGTGATATTGTTATTTATAAGGAATATTTATTTACATAAAACTTTAAGCTTCCTGTTTTCTGTTTCCTGTTCCCTGTTGCATGCAAAAACAAAACAGAAAAATATTAATTGTTTAATTATGGAATTGTCCTCTTACTTTTGCCATCAACACAAACAAGTGACACAAAATTGTGTACTTAATGGAATTAAAGTCAGCAGAAGGACAAGCGAACTGTTAAGTGACAGCGCGAATATAATGGCAAGGCGTTAACAGCTGCGCTACTTAAAGTCGCACATAAACACAAGCACAAGCACTGTTGTTGCTGTTATTCTTGCTACTGTTATTACAAAGTTATGTTAAAGTAACATATTAAGTTAAATGATGACAATAATAAAACAATAAAATTTTATAGTTCTGTTGTTCCATCAAACAAACAAATCACATATAGAAAGTCAAGCTCACATTTGTGCAAACATACGTGAATATTTTCTCAATGGTGACATGACTTGATGTAATTACTTTAAAATTTAATTTCAATTAAAAAAGTAAAAGTTCGAACTTAACAGAAAAGTCACAATGAACGTGTACAGAAAAAATATATAAAAAAAAATATTAAAAACGTGAAATAAAAAGAAAAGTAAATGAAAATGAAATTGAAAATGCAATTGTCACATCAGTAAAATGCATTTAACAAAAGCATATAAGTATAAGTGCAACATCAGCTGTATCAGCAATTGATAAATGTTGACAACATGTGCGAAGTACTTAAACTGCCATGAAAATTGCATATGGCGTTCTTTCGAGTAATTTGCAACAACAATTTCTCACTTCATTCTTTAAAAGTTTCGTTTTTAATTAATTTTCAGTTTGTACAACATACTGATAAATAGCTTTCATTATTAATAATTATTAATTAATATTAATGGTGTAGTGTTGAGATAAGTTTGCACGCAACAAGAGCTGCAATAATATTAACGCCGCCGAAACTAGCAACGACGCCATCACAACGCCGATTGTAGCAGCAAGAATAAAATACAATAGCAACATCATTTAAAACAAAAGCAACTCCAAGCATTTAAGGCAGCTACAACAAAAAGTATATATAATGAACTTATAAAATATCTGAAAAGTGAATTGCTGCATCGAGCAATCATTTTTATAGCACCTGCTTTTTTTACTACAGCCAAATATGTTGCTTACGAGAGTTTCATGAGTGAACGCGCATTGTTGCTTTTATGAAAAATTAACATTTTTATGTGAGTACATTGCGACGTACGACAGAGAAATTCTCTTATTTGCATTTAAAATATGCAACCCTTACGGCGTTTTTAAACTTAACACAATCTGATGCATTTATCTATAATTCCACAACAATTAAGCACATGAGAGCTTTTCATCACCATTTACGTTTAAGGTTTTTTTTTGAAATTAAAAAGTTAGTATAATTTTAACGACGTTTTAATATTTATAGTAAATATGTTTTACAAAAATTAATAAAGAAGTTTTAATCAAATTTTAATATGAGTTAACATAAACTTAAATACAATTTTTTAATAAAGAAAATGTTTAGAAGTAAATAAGTATTACAAAAAAAACAAAAAATTAATTATTTATGTCCTCTTCCACTTAAAATCCAAAAATTGGAAAAAAAATATTCACTTCACGGAATATTCATATATTTTATAACAAAATTTATTTAATTCATAAAATAAATGTATTTTTAATATAAACTTAAATACAATTTTTTTATAAAGAAAATGTTCAAGAGTAAATTAGTATTACAAAAAAAAAATTAATTATCTATGTCTTCTTCCACTTAAAAATCCCAAAATTTACAGAATAAAGTTGACTTCACAGAAGTTTCGTATATTTTATAAAAAAATTTATTTATTTCATAAATTAAATGTATTTTAAATGTATTTTAAATACAATTTTTTAATAAAGAAAATGTTTACATGTAAATAAGTATTGAAAAAAAAAATTAAATATTTATGACCTCTTTTACTTTACAATCCAAAAATTACAAAATAAAATTCACTTCACGGAATTTTCGTATATTTTATAACAAAATTATTTATTTTATACACAAAATATATTTTTAAATAAGCACTGTAAAATAGTTTATTTTCACATATTAAACTTTTTTTTACTAATATAATTCTAAATGTGTTCAGTATAAAGAATCTATACTTAATATAAGTTAGACCGTAAATACATTTCTTGAATAAGCAAAACGTTTATAAATAGCTTTTCAAAAAAAGATTCAACATTATTGCACTTTTCTATTTTAAAAGCCTTACATAACAAAATAAAGTTCACTTCACAGAATTTTTTATAATTTATAGCCAAATATATCTGCCACAATATATATATTTAAATTTCCTCTACGAAAAAATTCTTTATGTAAATACATTTTATTGCATAATGTCCTGATATATAATATTTTTCCCTCAATATCTCTCATTAAAAGAGAGTCTCTCATATAAATTGGAAATGTCAAAATGTTATGAACTTCTTGAACATTGCAGTCTTTTAGATAGAAGTTATTATCCATATAGATTATATAACTTACTTTATATATATATAATTATACTATATAAGTAAATAATCAGAACTGCTTTAAAACCCTTAAATTAAATCCAAATAATGCTTTTTGGTCTACAACAGTTTTAGACTGATAAACATCTTTAAATCGAATATCAACGCAATTTCATATTTTTCTTTTCTGGATTCCCGGTCGTAAGGATATTTACTGGCAATTGTAACGTAGAAGAGTTAGCCAAACACAACTGCTTTAAAGCTCTTATAATATCTGCTTTAAAATAATATCTATAATGGGATATCACTGATAAGTAGCTTTGTATATTATGTCAGCATAGTTTAACACTTCACTTCTTTGGGTTCCCAGTTGTAAGAATATTATTCGTAATTGATTAGTTAACCCAATAGTATGTCACAGGTACACATTCACATTATATGAAAAATATAAACATATACTAGCTTCTTTTGAAGTATTTTAGCAGCTAAAAAACCTCTCTGTGAAGAGTTTATCATCAATGGTTTCTAATAGTTTTAAACTTTTCTAAACCAATATGTTGAAAGGGATCCCTAAAATTATCGTTTTTAATCTATAACCTACCCAACAAAAAACTGATTACACAACTTATACACTTACAGCTGCAGAAATATTATTATAAAAAATTTTTTAATTTTAAACATGTATTGAAGAGGATAAAAATTGAAAGTTAAGAATTCTTTTCTTTAATTAAAAATCATTGATTGCATTAAATAATAAATAATCATAATTTAGCATATGTACTTTTCTTTAAATATATTTTCGTTGCTAGCACTTCTCATTAGCCACTTATTGCACTTGAAGAACACGTTCTTCGCGTTATCATCCTCAACTCCCCAATACATGCTATTGCGTATCACTACTTTGCACATACGGTAGAGGTAGCTGTTGATATATCTTTGGCCAGACAAGAACTGAATAAGGTAATAGTTGACCTCTTCGAAGGCCCTTACTAGCGAGTTTTAGACCTCTGTAATGAACTTTGCGATCCGTCAGCCACAGTTATCAGAGTCCTAACGTTGCTGCCATACATTTATTCGCATTTACCGACCATAATGTAGTAGACATAAACTATCATATAACTTATAATATTAGCTTTATACTAAATATTATAATGTTTTTAATTTCTTTTAATGGAAGATAAAAAAGTATTAAATATGTATTATCAGAAAAAACTAATATGAAAAACGAAATAGTCGTTTATGTTTTTCAACAGATTATAAATTTTTACTATTCGTGCAAAAAAACTGTAGTTTATATAAAAAAATTATTTTATATTATAAATTTCTTGATATATATGTTTAAACCCATGTGAAATAAAATAAAACAAATGTTTGAAGTTGACGAAATATAACACTACAAATGTTCCTATAATAAAATTAGAAAACAAATGAAAAACCCCTCAAGTGTTTAATTATATTTCATTCATTAATTTTCATCATATTTAATTAAGTTAATATAAATAAATAAAAGGCTATGCTGACAATAATTAAAGACACTGTAATTACAGAAGCGGTAACGCTTCGGATTACTCACGTTTTAAATGAATTCAGTTTAAAATGCATCATTCTGTTTAATGCTAAATGCTTACTATTCCGTATTTTTCTATAGTAAATACGAATAAAATTTAAATTGAAGAGGCATTCAACAGAAAAGATTATTTAAATAATTTTTCATATTAATTAAAATTTAATTACTTATAGTCAATTAAAAATGCGTTTTTTTTTTTTTGAAAATAAAAACTCGTTGATAGCTACTCATTTCCTATATTTATTATTATTATTTAAACATTTTCTTGCAACATTAGATGTTGTGTTTTAATTTTTTAAACTTTTATTTTCATAAGATAAATAAAATTGATATACAGCTTATTATTATAATATCACGAGTATGCATTTTAATAGCTACAAGTTTTATATTAATTTTAATTGCAGATAATATCTCACCATACGCAAATAATTGAAGTTGGGAAAAACACAACTACGTCCGAATAGTACGAATATTAGCCATTAATTTTATTTAGTATTATTCATCGCTATTAAATAGTGGCAGAAAGTTCAATTGAAAACAAAAAGTTCCGTAATTTAAGTGAAATTAATTGCTTATGAAAATATAAGTTTTTAGATTATTTCATAAGCAACAAATGCGATAGAATTTTGTAGAGGAGCGGAATTATCATAAATCAATCAACAATAAATACAATTAACAGAGGTAAGTGCTAAGAAAATATTTATATACAAAGTTATTATAAGGTGAGCAAATAAACACAAATTTCCATGAACACTTCAGTGAACTGGAAAAGTAACTGACACACACAAAAACCACCACTGGGAACGATGGTTAAGTAGCTTCTGCTAAACGCGTTGGCTAAGGTGAAGTGCTTAACGAGCTAAACCAACTTGATTATTTTTGTAATATGACAGCAACAAAAACACAACATCAACACAACAACAGCACGGCAACAACATGGCAACAACAGAGACTGTTAAAAGCACAACAAGAGGCACAAAATTAATGTGTTAATTCTTCACATTTTAAAGTTATTAAATATTTTAAGCTTGCCTTGTAGTGGTAGCTTTAATGTATTGTTGGGCTATTAGCTTCAGTGGTTGTAGTATGTTAAAGCCACAACAACATCCCAAATAAACAGGCAGCAGACATTCTCTTACACCTACCTACAACCGCAAGTGAACAGATCTACACAAACCGCCCCCGCTCAGGTTGCAAGCGAACTAATTTGCACACGCACTTCAACTTTGAACGGCTTCCATATTTTTTCCCCAAAATAATTTTTTACCTTATTTTTAATTTGTTTATAATGTAATCCAGGAATTTTTTCGCTATACGAATTGTTGGTCTGGTCCTGTTTAATAATTTTATCATTTTAATAGGTGGCTTAAATTTGGTAACGAACCTTGTGTGCCATACCGTTTGTCGTCATCACTTGTATTCATGTGTGTATTTGTGTGTATTTGTGTTTTTAATAACATTTATTGTGGTATTAATTTTTATTTAATAATTAAAACCTTTATTAAATTGATTTTTATTACATGTTTAATAAAATCATATTTTTAATTAATGTTATTATATGCATATTAGTCCTTCATGTTGATGATTATGATGAAAATTAATTATTAAACATTAAGTAATTTATCATATATTAACCATACTGCTTGGAGGCACTACATGATTATACATTAAAACGAAAAAATATTTAAAAAATCAACATTTTTTTTATTTTTTCAATCAATTTTGAATAATTTATATTTTTCAATTAATTAATAATTATCTCTTATTAATAATTTCTTTAAAAAACATATTTATATTGTTTTATATTGTTTTTTATTCATCATTCATTTACACACCTTAATTTCGCAAAAATTTTTATTTCATCTTCGTTTCAGCGAAATTACTTGTATTCTCCATTAAAAATTCCATTTTGAGCTTAGAACGAAATTAAGAAAAATGGCCTTAATTTCGTTGAAATGAAGGCTAAATTAAAGGAACATTTCAAATGCAACTATGCGTAAGATAAATTTAAACCAAATGATGCAGTTGAGATAACGAAAAGGGATATTTTTTTTTAAATAAATATTTTGAAGCAAAATTTTAAATTTGATTATAGAGAAAACAAACTGTAACTATTATTAATTTAAAATAGAGTGGAAAATAATAATTCACATAACTGAAATCCACTAAAGCTAATAAAACTACTGAATACCATCCTTTATAGTTATAATAATCAACTTTTAAAATTTCTCAGATACAAATTTCCCAGATAAAAACATATGATTTCCTTAGTTTGTGGCAGTATGAACAGTTTTGAAATTAACTAAATTTCATGTTTTCGAAATTAATGAAATTTGACTCTCTGAACATAAAAATACAATTTATGGAATATGTACCATTTATTATAATCTATAAATTATATATTTAGAAACTAATATAATGGTGTACCTGCACCCATCATCATATTTAATAAAACTACAATTTTATGAAATTTATATTTAATACTATAATCTATAAATTATAAATATTTGTAAACTGATATAATGGCGTACCTGCAGTCATCGTCATATTCCATTTCTTATAAGATTCATATTAAAACCAATGCTCTATAGTTAATTTTACTACCAATTTAGGTGAGCCGAGAAATGATTGCGAATAAGAAGGTATCTTTTAAGAATCATTCTTTCAAATTCAGCCATGGTTTCTTTAAATGATATAACTAACATAATTGGCTAGAAACCTATTAAAGCATACGTAAATCGTTGTGTTTGCCGACATTAAACTATGTTTGCATGCATAATCTCAGCTTTGGTTGGCACTTCGAACCACAATATTTTTCAGCGCACTTTTAGAACCACGAGATTTCGAACTTTACCTTAAAAGAAATGTCAATCAAGGTAGTAATTTTTGGTTACTTATTTTTTTTTCGTGAGAAACTTTAAAAATAATTAGTTTTTTATTTTTACTATATTTATCCAAAATCAGTTGTTAAATATATTTTTATTTAATAAACTTAGACTTAGCTTATACTAACAAAATGTAAAATTAATTGATGTTAAGCACTCATAGCTTCCAATAAATATTTCTTGCTATACTTATATTTATATTTTTCAAATACATCTATATACACATGACTTATCGCTTCACAAAATATTCCTTATGCTTATTTTTTAAATAAAAAGATATTTAATATATACAGTTTCTTTGTAGAATAATATACTTATACTATAAATATTTTTCTTGAAAATTCTTCCGAATATATAATAAACCCTTTTTGAAAAGATAACAATTATAGAAATATTTGATCTATTTAATCATTCAAATATTTATTTGATATAAACAGTTTTCTTTACTTTATGAATGGCTAATACACAACATATAAATCGAAATACTACATAAAATTGCTATTGTAGTACAATAGGGCACTGCATAAAGCATTCGTGATATGTATCAATATGATAAAATTTAAAATTAAATTAAATTAAATTTTGATTTATTAATATTTCCAACCAACAAATAAAATAATTAAGCACACTTAATCAGTTAAATGTCAAATGCTCTTGACAACGCTTATCATTTCTCTTGTATACAAAGTAAAATAAATCAGGATAAACTTTTTTATCCTGAAAACTGCAAACTGATTCAAATATGAAGAAAGAAAATGCTAAATGGAAAACAAAATTGAAATGGAAAACATTATAAGCGCGTGTATTTAAGTTTTTCATATTATTGTATGTAATAACTTTATACCTTTTGCAGTTCGCAGGAACTTCCCTTTTTCTGACGAAACAAAAGATAAAAATAAAGTAAAATATGAATGTCATAATTTTCAGTTATGAAAAATTTTAAAGTTCATACGTTTACATTATAATTTTCCTTTTAAAGATATGCAAAAGTTGGAATTTAATATACAAATAAATTTCCCATTCAACAATGTAAAAATTCTGTTACTATAAATTCTGTTATCCTAATGTGAATATCAGAGGAATCTTTAACAGAATTGCTATGCTGCTACTAATACTCCCATTACACCTGCTACACAAATTGTTTTCTGCCTTTACATTTTTTGAATATATTTTCTTGAACTTACAAATATAATATCTATTTTAGAGTATACAATGTTTTTTATGTATTTTATATTTTAGTTAAATGAAAATTTATGCCATATTTTCTTCTGATAACACCTAAGCAACAAAAACAAAAGCCTGTTCAGTTCAAAGCTTCTCCATTAGCGCAACAATTGCAAAAATTTTCAAAATTTTCAGTTGGTTGAGTGCTTTTAAAAATTTTCAAAAAATTTTTTTTTATTTTCTAGAAATTTTCTATGAATTTTATTTTTCTAACATTGAAAAGTATACCAAACCATATCGAAATGGCAGCAAGAGTTAATATATAAATTCGGTAGACGACTGAAATAAAATCTAATGAAACTCTAATAAAATATAAATTTTATTTCTCAACAAAATGAAATTAATGAAATTAAATTTGCTACAAATGTTTGTCTGAAATCATTTGTCTGACAAAATAATGTCATTTATTTTCACTTAAAATAATTAGAAGATATGAGAAATAATTGCATTTATTTTTTAATTCAAGCAATTCATTGTACAGTGCAAAAATCTATTAGTTACTTCATCTAGATACAAGGAGCAATTTGTTAAAAAATACCTAGAAATGTTTTCCATTAATTTAATGCAAGCAAATACACATTAAGTGTCGCTTTATCTAAATACATTGCGGAAATGAACTCTGCGTTTCTCGTGAAGCTCGTGAAAAGCGCGGTGATTAATCATTTTTGCGAATTCCAAACTTTATAGCATAAAAAAAAAATTGCAACAAGACAAATGCTAATATTACAAAATAATTACACTGCACTACGTCAAATCAAACAAAACAAAATTTTAAGCATAAAACTAATTCAATCTAAAATCTTAATTAGTCTAAGCAATGTCATAGCGCATACACAACATTTTTCAAATATGATTAATGAAATCAGATAAAAGCAAACAATGTTTCATGTCACAGATAGAAAGTGACGAATGATATTCAAATTATAATTATTACGAAACTTACTTATCAAGAAGTTATTTTAGTGGCGTGAATTTTGTAACGCCAAATTCGATTGAGCTAGCAAAGTTGTTTACACAATGAACAATTGTGCAAACAATCTAACAAGAGTAGCGGAAATAATCACACAACTCAGTCGCAATCTTACAGATATAAATACTTTGGTAGCGGTTGCAAGTGTTGCTAATATCTTAACAAGTACTAAAATTACACTCATTGTCACACTTCTAACGTCTTCAATTATCATTCTATACTATATTTGTTTTATATATAGTATATAGTTTGATATGAAAGTAAAATTTTTATTGTATTAACCTATATTGTATATTAGACTGAAGTGACTGAACACAAAAATATTAAACAAACTTAGTCAACATTTATTTTATTTATTTAATAAATATTTGTTAAGCAAATAATTATCATTTTTATTGTTAGTGTGAGATACATCATCTGTGAAATTTTTAGTTACTATGATTCAGCTAAATAAATAATTTTTTTTATTTTCTAAAATAGTCACATTTTTTTAAACTTGATTCACTCTTCTAGATAATTTCAAATTATTTTTGTTTTGTTCCATTTTGAATAATTTAAAATTCCAAAAAAAAAAAAAATTAAATAAAATCAATTATATATGA